CCGATAGAGGAGGTGAATTTACATCAAATGAATTTAATGAATTTTGTGAAAATAATGGGATTCGCCGTCCTTTAACGGTTCCATATTCACCACAACAAAATGGCGTGGTTGAAAGAAAAAATAGAACTATTCTTGAGATGGCTAGAAGCATGCTAAAAAGCAAGAATATGCCAAAAGAATTTTGGGCCGAAGCGGTTGATTGTGCTGTGTATATTTTAAATCGTTGTCCAACTAAAAGTCTTGACAACAAGACACCTCAAGAAGCATGGCGGAAGAAGAAACCAAATGTTTCTCACCTTCGAGTTTTTGGAAGTATAGCATATGCTCATGTGCCAGATCAAAAACGCTCAAAGCTTGATGATAAAAGTGAGAAGTTTGTGTTTATTGGATACGATAAACACTCGAAGGGATATAAGCTATATAATCCAGTCACGAAGAAAATCATCGTGAGCCGAGATGTCCAATTTGATGAAGAAGCCTCTTGGGATTGGAGTGTTCAAGAAGATGAGAATTACAACTTCTTCCCGCTCTTTGAAGAAAATGAAGAACAAGAGGACCATGATGACCAAGCGGCTCAAGAACCAAACACTCCACCTCATTCACCATCCATCCAAGGAAGTCCACCAACCAACGATGAAGGCTCAAATGAAAGAACTCCCCGTTATAGAAGCTTACAAGAGATATATGAGGTAACCCAAAATTTGGATGAAATAACTCTTGTTTGTCTTCTTAATGATTGTGAACTAATAGGTGTTCAAGAGGCACTAGAAGACAAGAAATGGAAAAATGCTATGGACGAGGAGATGAAGTCAATCATGAAGAATGATACTTGGGAGTTAGCTACGCTACCAAAGGGGCACAAGGCTATCAGCACTAAATGGGTATACAAAGCAAAGAAAAATGCCAAAGGAGAAATTGAAAGATACAAGGCAAGGTTGGTGGCAAAAGGGTACAAGCAAAGGGCCGGTATTGACTATGACGAGGTATTTGCTCCCGTTGTCCGCTTAGAAACTATAAGATTACTTATTTCAATTGCAGCTCAAAATAATTGGAGATTGTACCAAATGGACGTAAAATCGGCTTTCTTAAATGGTTATTTGGAAGAAGAAGTCTATTTGGAACAACCCCCAGGTTATATAATTAAAGGGCAAGAAAATAAAGTTTTAAAATTAAAGAAGGCACTTTATGGATTAAAACAAGCCCCAAGAGCTTGGAATACTAGAATAGACAAGTACTTTCAAGAAAATGGTTTTCTAAGGTGCTCTTATGAATATGCCCTTTATGTAAAAACAAATGAAGATGGGGATATTTTGATTGTGTGCTTATATGTGGATGATTTGATATTCACGGGTAACAATCCAAGTATGTTTGATGCTTTCAAGAAAGAAATGAGTCGTGAATTTGAGATGACGGATATGGGACTTATGTCATACTACCTTGGAATTGAAGTCAATCAAAGTGATAGAGGAATATTTATTTCCCAAGAAGGTTATGCAAGAAAAATTCTTAAGAAATTTAAGATGGATGGGTGCAAGCCGATTGACACACCAGTCGATTATCGGACAAAATTCTCTAAGTTTGATGAAGGAGATAAAGTGGATCCGACTATGTTCAAAAGTTTGGTTGGGAGCTTGCGCTACTTAACATGTACGAGGCCCGATATTCTTTTTGGAGTGGGACTTATTAGCCGCTATATGGAAGCACCAACATCTATCCATATGAAGGTCGCCAAAAGGATTCTACGCTACCTAAAAGGTACGATTAGCTTTGGATTGACTTACTCATCTTCTAAAGAATATAAGTTGTTTGGTTATAGTGATAGCGATTGGGGCGGAGATATTGATGACCGTAAGAGTACAACCGGGTTTGTACTTTACATGGGGGATATGCCTTTCACATGGTCTTCAAAGAAGCAACCCATTGTGACACTTTCGACTTGTGAAGCTGAATATGTTGCCGCTACGTCATGTGTATGTCACATCATTTGGCTTCGAAGATTATTGAAGGAAATTCGCATGCCACAAGAAGATGCAACCGAGATTTATGTTGATAACAAGTCGGCCATTGCACTTGCAAAAAATCCCGTCTATCATGACCGAACTAAACATATTGATACTCGCTACCATTTTATTCGTGAATGTGTCGAGAATAAGGAGGTCTAAGTGAAGTATGTGAGGTCGCAAGATCAAGTTGCGGATATTCTTACAAAACCTCTCAAGCATGAAGACTTCAAGCGATTAAGAAGAATGCTCGAAGTTGGAAATCAAGTTTAAGGGGGGATGTTAGAATGTAAACTTGATTTTGGGTTATGTTAATAATTGATGTTTGTTGTAATGGGCAAAGCCCAAAATAATTAGGAGTGTTCTAGAGAGAAATGTTCTAGAAAGTTTCTAGAGTGTGAGACTTCTAGAGTCATTCTAGAGAATAATTAATAAGGAGAATTCTAGAGAACTCTCCACCAATTTATTGTGGATGTGAGTAGTATAAATAGGTGTAGTTGTGCTCATTTGTAATCAAGCATCAAGCTAAGAAATCTTCAAGCAATATAATACAAGTTCTCTCTTCTTCCATCCTCTCTTCTAGTTAGCTAAAAGCTTTTTCTACTTACACACTTATCTTCATAACGTCCTAAAATACTTAGCCTCTACCTCTAATATTCCAACAGGGCAGGGTATGCGACAGGCCCATGGGTAGTAGACCTGCCCAAAAACAGGGTCCGGACAATTGCTATACCGTGGGAGCGGTGCAGTGTGAGCATCATGCTCCCAAAGTTATATGTAATGTAAATCATGTTAATTCACGTGTAACTTCAAGTTTATCGAGATGTAAATTACACTCATTCAAATGTAACTCATTGAAATGTAAACTGTTTTGATTCAAATGTAACTTGGAAACAAGTCAAATCTAATTTGTGAATGTAACTTTAGCCTATTCAAATGTAACTTGGGAATAAGGAGATGTAACTTGTGAATTGGAATAATACTAAATCAAATCAAAAGAATTTGCTTTCAATTTTAAAATGATTATGCATAAATCTTCCCGGAGGACATGGAGGAAGAGGAGGAGGAGAAATAAGAAGAAAACTTACCTGTAGTGTCGTCGGTCGATGGTCCTGTAGCAGCTGCGATCAATTTATCCTTGTCTTTAATCACTAAAGCGATGTCGTTTGGGATCGACACACCTTGCGCACGGTGGGCCGATCCCACGGTATAATTTGCGGGGTCGGGATGGGTTTTTTCTTAATTCTATGTCCATTGTGTGGGTGGGCCCGACATGCAACTCATCTTTTGAATGTATCATTGTTTCACCCCTCAGCCCTCTATGACATGCAGTAATGGACGCCTAATTGTCCGATAAAATTTACAATTGAAATATGGATACCCAAACTAATTTTTGAATCTCAACACATGTATTGTGTCTCTTTTTTCAAATTCTCTTTGTTTACGGAGTAATGGGGGTTCGAAGAGGGAATTTTATGACAATGATAACTTCAGTAATCCCTTTATTTGTTTTTGGTTTCAGCCCCTCCAGTGGATATAGTGTAATCTAGTACACCACCAGGTGTAATGGTGTTTGGGTTTCAGCATCGATCTGGTGTAAACTCCAACGTGAGGGATTGTCGGATAGCTGTCTTAATGGCTGCTTGGACCTCCATACTTTGGATCCATGTCTTGCAGTAATATAACTTCCTATTAGGATTAGTTTCCATATATTGTTATAAGATCTTATACTATGCTTCAATGATAATGGAGTGTTTGGTTAGTGGCCTATCAGCCATTTTTTGGCCGTATTGACCAATATTTGACAGTATTGACCAATATTTGGTTAGGAATGTTTGGTTACATACTTACATCACTTTTTTATTTAGCTTTTTATCCAAACAACCAAATTTTAAAAGCCACAAAACTTGGCGTTTAGGCATCACTCATCAGCCGATTCAGTTTCTCGTCCAATTTCCCTAATCTACCCACGCCTTCTCTTTCGATAATTCTACGTTGCCTCCCTTTCTTCACTAATTCGCCTTCCTTCTTTTGTACTCCTAGCGAATCATCCATCTCTTTCTCGAAAAAAAAAATGCATGCTTTTGTTCTCCAAATTTGCTCAATCTTGAATGTTTCCCATTTTTTTATCTCTTTCAACCAAGTAACGATGTACTATGTAGTTGTTTCGTTAATTACTTCGTATGGACAAAAGTAATGAACAAGGCTCTGACAAATTGACTTTGTGATGGTATGAAAGAATAATGAATGGATTTCAACTCACATACAACTCTCTGTCAATTCATCAAATGGGTTGGTGCTAAATTTGTTTTTTTGGCTTTTTATTCCAACTCATAACAGTTATAAGTATTTTAGTTTATTAAATACATTAAAAATTATGTATAGAGGATTTTTTGTAATATTTTTTAGTTTTTGAAAATCATAAAAACGGTTGTGGGGTAGTCATGCAAATACCATTGACAAAATTTATAATACGTATATAAAAAGTAGTAGTAAATAAAAAATTAATTGATGTCCTTAAAAGTCATTTAATAAATTATCATCTAATTGTAAACATCCATTTAACCAAACACCATTTTACAAACTGTTAATACTATCCGCTGATCAAAACAACCAACAAATTTGTTGTTGTTATTAATCAGCCAACACAATTAGCCAACAAGGCAACAAACATTTGCCAAACATCCCCAATATCTATACATATCCCACTGCTTCCAATAAGTGACCTGAAATTTGGTGTCAAAAAAGGCTACATTTGGTAAGCCCTAAGTGACCTTTTTAAGATTTATAATGAGAAATATTAGCGAAAAAAAGACAGGTTTACACGTTGAAATGTTGAATACCCTTCCCCAAAGCAACCTGCAAATGAATAATGCCATTTAAGGCCCTGTTTGCAAGCATTAATCAGCTTACTCTACTAATCAAGCAAACAATCAGATTAGATAGCATAAGCAGCTTTTGACTTACTTATTTGGCTTAAATCAATATTACCAAACATTTTCCCTTTTTAAAATTCAACTGTTCCAACCAAATATTAGACCATATATATACATACTTAAGTGGAGAAGATGGTACAAATTTCAAAATGAAGTGGAGAGACTTTGATACTTGGTAGAAAATATAGCTTCTATTGGAAACAAAAAAAAAAACTGCGATATGCAATACTTAAAAGGCGTACCAATCCCACAAAATGCTGGGTCTGGGAAATACATACATGCTAAGTTCTGTACTTGAAGATTGACAGTTCCCATTATCCAGCCCATCACAATCCCAACTGCAAAACAATCCATGATTGGAATGTGACAGAGCTTAGCTATTCAGCCAAACTAGGTGCTTCATCAGTTGGATTGGATTCAAAGACATCTGCTTTAGATGAATCGGGTCCTTCTAGAAGCTCCCGTGACTCAACTGATTCCTTGTACGCAGGTGTGTCCTTGAAGTCTGTTGCTCCGTCATTGTATGTAGCGACAGCAACAACACATGCAACTAACTGCAAAATGAATTATACAAACAACAGCAAAAGTTGTTTAAAACAAGCATTTATTCACTCAGACTCCATTTGGATGGTGGAGGGTTTTGGAAGACTTAATCCATGTCTGGATAAATAGAATGTTTCTAAAAACAAAAGCAGTAAAGGTGATTGGAATGCCATACAATCACATATTATGTTAATATTTCAGTTGTATTCATTCTGAAACATGTATAAAAAATATACACCAAGTCCTCCAAAGTCTTCCTCCAAATCACTCTCCCAAATAGACCGTTACAGAAGAATGCAAAAAATGAAGCAACTGCATTTCATTGAAAAAAGTTATATGGATAATTCAGTATTCTTCACTGTGTCTAATATGAAGTGCAGCAGCAAATGATTATTTTACAATTTTCATATGATTACTTTTTCATTTACAACTTTCACATTTTACATTGTTGCATATGATCTACTCACCAGAACATCCTACTATGACAGTTTTTGGCAACTCATAATAGAATGTAATCAAAAGTATGTGTAATGAAAATTTTCTTTAAAAATATTATACTACGTATTTCTTATTGAATTACGGTTTCTAACGTGTTACCTACATGTCGTGTTTGGCTCATCTGATGAGCCATCGAGCAAAATGGGTCCTACAACTCTAACAGCCTGAACGCTCCGTACAATTTGGCCTCAGGAGATCTGGGCAATCTGCATGGACAAGGTCTGATCTAAAGGCCTTCCTTAGCCAATCAGAGGATCTGAATCTGTAAATTTGACATTTTAAGAAAATGTCAAATTTGATGTTTTAAGTAAGGGAAATTGCCCTAAATAGGAGTAAACAACTTTGGGAATTCCAAAATAGGACTACTATATTTTTCTTCCGAAATATGACGAAATATGAGTCGTTACTCCTATGTTGAATGCATAGTACTGCAACTATTTGACAGTCACGACTAAAAGATGGCAGTAAATACTGTCATCTTACTCCTATTTCGGGAAGAAAAACATAGCAGTCCTATTTTGGAATTTCAAACTCTATTTAGTCCTAGTTTTGGAAATCTCTCTAAGAAAATACAATAAACACAATAGACAAAAGGTGGGAGTAGCACCTATTGAAGATAAAATGTGGGAGTTTTGATTGCGGTGATTTCGTCATGTGCATAGAAGACCAAGTGATACAACTAATAGACGAGTTGAGAGGTGTGGAAAAGATGCGGGGAGGAGAGAGAGAGGAAGACCCAAACATGCGTGGATTAAAGGAGTCAAGAGTGATATGTTTCTTCTTGGATTGGATGAGAGCATGACTTTGGAGAGAGTAAAGTGGAACCCGATGGGTTTCGTGTGGCGGATTGATCTTTTATCATCTTTTCCCCCCATTTATCTTCTGTATCTTTCTTATGTTTTTTATCCTTTTATCTTTTATATATATATATATGTACGTATGTATTTGTTTAAAATATATGTATATATATGTGTGTGTATGTATATATATATATACTCCTCCATCCCTTGAAACTTTGCAACTTTCCTTTTTTGGTTATCCCACTCTCTTTGCCACTTTTCCTTTGAAGTAAATAATTTGTGGTTCTTGTTTATCCCACTCTCTTGGTTATCCCACTTTATTAATCGTCATGTCTGTCAAATTTTGCCAAATTTTAAGGGATGGAGGGAGTAATGGAGTATTATATATAGAGAGAGAGGAGGGTTTAAATGCATAGACACCTTTCCATGCAAAGTGAGAATAAATCTTGTATATTCAATTTGGGATCTAATGACTCAAATTAAGCCAACAATTCATTAGATTTGATCAAAAACGCAGTGAGAATTTCATAAATAAACCAAAAAAATTTGCCTCCCCATTGAGCGAAAAGTGAAACCGTTTGCACTTTGCATGGGAACATCATTTTTATCCTATCATTCTTGTGTATACATTTTCTCTATTTTATCTTATCTTTTTTGTTATATTTTTTTTATCATACCTTATCTTTTTGTGTTTCTTTTCTTTTTGGCTCCACTATTATGTATCGATTCATGTTAGTCAACCCCAAAATCTTTTGAGACTAATGGTTGGATGGTGTTGTTGTAAGAAAATACAATAATGGTCTCTAAGTCTAAGACACTATCACTTCAATCATTCTTGTTGTACCCACTCTTATACCTACCTTATACATAAGAAGTAAAATATAAAAATATTAATTACATACTTTTATTATTTATTTAATATAAATATATATATATATATATATAAATTATAGTGGTTTTTTACATATTAAATATACTACGCAGTAATTATGTGTACATTATATTGTATAAAGTAAGGTAATACATATATGTGTGTGTGTATGTACACATAACTTTCACATTTTTTATATAAAATATAAATAAAATATTTGGAAATAAAGGTAAAGAAATTATTTTAGTTTATATTTTATTTTTATTTTGAATTAAATGCAAAATAAAAATATTTCATTTTTATATTTAATATTCTTGAACTGTATATTATTTATATCTGTATTTTTTATTTTTTATTTTTCATAATTTTGACACTTTTTAACGGTTGAGGGGGTGATTTGAACAATTCGGTTGGGTTCACGGGCTTATTTGACCCCTTGAGTTGCAACATCAGAATCACACTTGGCAAATGACCTGATGACGTGGTGCTGACCGGGTGGTTACCTCCAAATTGTCTAATTTGAAACTTTTTATCCAGTTCAAGGTGCCAATTGGAGTTTTTTTTAGTTTAGGAGGCGAATTGAGCATTACTAACGAGTACATGAGCCTATTTGACCCTATAGCTAAGAAGTTTTCATACTCCTGCCCAAATAAGTTGACAATTTCTTACAAACACTCCTTCGAGGTAGCTTCTCATCTCTTCTACTCGTCTCCTCCTCCTCTTCTTCTATATCTATTCTCCTTCTTCATCTCCTCTCCTTCACTTCTTCTATATTAAATAAAAGTATATTTATTTAATATATATATATATATATATATATATAAATATTTAAATTATAGTGGTTTTTTACATATTAAATATACTACGCAGTAATTATGTGTACATTATATTGTATAAAGTAAGGTAATACATATGTGTGTGTGTGTATGTACACATAACTTTCACATTTTTTATATAAAATATAAATAAAATATTTGGAAATAAAGGTAAAGAAATTATTTTAGTTTATATTTTATTTTTATTTTGAATTAAATGCAAAATAAAAATATTTCATTTTTATATTTAATATTCTTGAAATGTATATTATTTATATCTGTATTTTTTATTTTTTATTTTTTATTTTTCATAATTTTGACACTTTTTAACGGTTGAGGAGGTGATTTGAACAATTCGGTTGGGTTCACGGGCTTATTTGACCCCTTGAGTTGCAACATCAGAATCACAGTTGGCAAATGACCTGATGACGTGGTGCTGACCGGGTGGTTACCTCCAAATTGTCTAATTTGAAACTTTTTATCCAGTTCAAGGTGCCAATTGGAGTTTTTTTTTTAGTTTAGGGGGGCGAATTGAGCATTACTAACAAGTACATGAGCCTATTTGACCCTATAGCTAAGAAGTTTTCATACTCCTGCACAAAGAAGTTGACAATTTCTTACAAACACTCCTTCGAGGTAGCTTCTCATCTCTTCTACTCGTCTCCTCCTCCTCTTCTTCTATATCTATTCTCCTTCTTCATCTCCTCTCCTTCACTTCTTCTCCTCCCCCCCCCCCCCCCCCCCCCCCTTGTAGTGAGTTGTTGGTCATTTTTTCCTAGAACTGGTCAAGGAAAGATAGACACCTTAAATTAATTAAGATCCCTAACCAATGATGAGGATAATCTTTGGTTGATGATTTGTCATCCGATGATGAATGGCTTGCGTTCATATTTGTGTTTGTATTTTAGATTTTTTGAACTTATAATTGTGCATTTCTTTAGTTGTTTATTATTAGTTTAACTAATTTAAGTTTTACTTGTTGGTATTATAGTATATATTGAGGCTTACACCTCACCCTTCCAAAACAAACCGCCTCGATACCTGAACAATCCTTTTTAAACTTTGGGCACAACCAATATTTATTTCCTTTTGGTGTGTAAATAGTAGCATAAGAGTGTGGGGGGGGGGGGGGGGGGGGTCTTCCGTTCTACCAAATAGGAGATTGAGCTCATCAAGCAATAGGCAAAACTGATTTAAACAACTCATTTCAACTTAGAAAACCAAATTTCTTAGTTGTATAATACAGGGGTAAGGTTGCGCACATCCGACTCCCGTACCCCACTGTAGGTGGGAGCCTTTACGGCACTGAAGAATGTTGTTTGTTTTATTTATATAAACGGTCACTAACAAGATTAAGTTTGGAAACATTCTAGTCCACAACATTACATGTCATAGCTCTATTTATTCATGTAGGAATCAGTATAATTGATAACCTCTTGATGTTTTAAGATGCTAACTATTTGAGAATACGGCTATTGAAAGAGAAGTGATCATTTTCCCAATGACAAATAGAGATTTGAAGTAAAGGAAGTATCCCAAAATCTTATACTTCGTATGTGTTTTTTATTTTACCCAATGACAAATACTTGAAGACATAGTCTCAGCCCAACCAGGGCCAGAAGATTTGAGAGTGAAAAAATGGGGCAAAGTGGCAAACAAACTCAACACGGGTTCCTCTAAATCATTTATGCAAAAAAACAATGAAATTGAAATCTCACCGGCTCTAAGATCATATGAAGACTCAGGGTTACCTCAAGGTTAACTTATTTGGATTGAACCACAAATCTTAATAAGGTTGTTTTCTTATATGTTAATTTGTACTCCCTCCGGTCCTTATTAAACTTTACGCTTTGACTTCACACATATTAAGAAAATAAATTTGACTTTACTGTAGAATACACTGTTTGGCACTGTTTTGCATTGTTTGCTGTAGATTTGTTTGACAAATAAGGCAAATAAGGAAGTGTAAAGTTTAATATGGGACAACCCGAAAAGGAAAGTGTAAAGTTAATTAAGAACCGGAGGGAGTATTTTAATTTTTCTAACTTATTTATAGTATTAGTTCAAAACACTGTTAAGCCCTAAATTAGCTATAACCGCTAAGACCTCCACTTTGAGAAGTGATATTTAGTAATTTGTGAGTGCATATTTAATTGAAACCTGAGTATATCTTAGTAAATCCTTCGAAAAGTGAGTCCTTTAAATAATTTTCCAGAGAAAACATGCCCCTGGAATGAGCTTCAAAGAGCTGAGCCCGTACCTACCGATTCATCCCTCTATATGGTTTGGTTTCAAAAAGCAAAAAGATGGCATTTTTACCCAGAAATAGTTATTATTTCTTGAAGAGACAGTTGAGCCAACCCGGGAACCGGAACAGGAACCAATTGGATCTTGAAATGGAACTTTAAATTTGATTTCAGAAGCTACTATATCTTTCTTGAAGAAGATGACAGAATGTTTAATATGCAACACGGTCTGTTTGACAGTATTGCTAGTTTTTAATTTTTATTCAGAACACTGGTATGAATGCTGTGTTGCTACGAGAGAAAAAAACAAGAAATAGTCATTGAAGGTAAAGTACCAGAGTAAGAATAATCTATACCGCAAAGACTATGCCAAAAGCCCACATGTACTGAATAAAGAATCCAAATGCATCCCACTGAGGACCTTCCCAGAAATCAGGTTCCCGTCCTGGGAGTTCCGGCATTCCAGGTACATCATCGGCGGAGGAAATCGAGTTTTCCTGAGCATCGTTATCGGTTCCAAAGGAAATCCGACCTGGCTTTTCCTCATCTTCTTTTATTGGCTCCTTTGTTGAGAGCGAACTGGTTCTGCTCTTGCTACCAATCTTACCCGTAGAAACCTTTCCCGCAGCAGGCACAGTGATATGGCGTCTTCCGTTCGGCCACGGCGGTATTGAAGAGATTGATATCACGAACGTGTGGCAGAGAGGGAAGCGTGTGCGCAATATTCCGGCGGGAATCTTGCAGAGTATGTTGTTCCCAGTTAGAGCCATTGTGGGGGAAGATGGACGACGGTGTGTGGTTGAGACCGTGAGACGGAATAAGATAACTTTGGTTGGGATGGTGTGGGCTAATTGCAATCAACCCCTCAATAAATTTAATTTCATGTCGGTTTAGATGTATTCACCTAGTAAATCCATTTTTTACAATTTAGCATCGTTAATATATTCATTCAATACATATTTTTTTAATTAAATGAAACTTAGTAACTATTAGTGATTATTAGTGACTATCAATACATATTTTTTTGTCCCTTTTAAACCACACAAGGTGGAAGGTGTCTTAGAACACCCCACTATATTAAAAGTTCAAGAAAGAAATAAAACTCAAAGAAGAAACAAACTACATCAGCAATTAAAGTTTTTGAGGGAATTCCAAGTGATGCAGAGATAGCTCTGTTGTACTTGTGAAACTTGATTGTCCTCACGACGATAAAATGTGTCCTCAAGGTGAGATAATTTGTAACTCTTGAGAGTAGCCGCCAGTTTTTGTGGGAGTCTAGCCTCCCATCGACCGGGTAGAGAAAGTAGTTTGTCTCGTTTTGATGTTTCTTTGAGTGGCTCCTGGTGATCATGGGATGTGATGTATATCCCACTTCGAAGAATAGTTGCACATCTTCGGTTTCTTTGTTCGGTGCATTTTTTGGATTGGAGTTTTTGCTTCTTCTTGTTACATGCGTAATGCCTTCAAGATGCTCCTCATCAACATGAGGGTTACCCAAATGACCTTGATTTTTTCTATCCTCATAAAGATTTTCATCATTGGACGATGATGGGCCAAGCATAGTATCTGGAATCTCAATCGGTGGGTCAGAGATGTTCTCATCATATCCAGTTCGGTCCTCACTATAAGATGGGGCAACAACATAATTTATGGCTTTACAGTTAACCAAATGATGAAATCCACCGGTTATCGCCTCATTACAGGTAGCCATCGGGGCTTAATCAATAGGAAAAGAAACCTGCAGTTGGACAGCCTTGCCATCCTTAGCATAGATAGCAGCAGGAGCTTGATTCGGGGCTACATCACTGGGAATAGAAACCGTTAATTCAGGTTCCAAACCAGCAACATCATAGTGAACCGAAGGATCATTAGCCAAAACAATAGGGGAAACCTGTGAATCTTCATTTGAAACAGTTATGACGGGGTTATGGGACTAGGCCCAGAGTTTAATCGGTCCAGGCCCCGAACTTGGACCAGCAGGCCCAAGCCCAGTGACCCAGCGCTCAAGGCAACCCAACCGATCAAGCCCATCGAGGAGAGGAAGTCCAAGACGACCTGCCTTCCAGCCCAGCCAGCAGCCTGCCTCCAGCTCAGCGGGGTGCCTGCCTTCCAACTCGGCCGACAACCTACCTCCAGCCCAGTGGGGAGCCTGTCTTCCAGCCCAGCTAGGAGCCTACCGACCAGCCCAACTGGGAGCCTGCCTTCCAGCCCAGTCGGGAGCCTGTGGTCCAGCCCAGGTGGGAGCCTGCCTTCCAGCCTAGCCAGCAGCCTGCCTCAAGCCCAGCAGGGAGCCTGCCTTCCAGCCTAGCAAGGAGCTTGCTTCCATCCCGGCCAGAAGCCTTCCTCCAGCCTAGCGGGGAGCCCACCGTCCAGTCCAGTATGAGGGAGCTCAAGCGTCCAACCTGCCAGCCAGGAACAATAACGGCCAAAGAAATTAATGCGTGACTTAATTATGTATTTAATTCTGTATTAATGTTGTAATTAATTAGCCATTAGTATCTTTGGCAGTTACCATTTGTAATCGCCTATAAAAGGCAAGTTCGATTCAAATAATAGATATGTTATTTCTCGCAACTAAACACTTTTAGTTTCTTTCCTTATTCGCATTACTTTCTTGATTTCCTACTTGAGTGTCGTACGTAGCTTTCCTAAAAGCCTACGAGTGTCCTATTTTGGACCAACATTGGTGCTTTCATTGAGAGCCTCTATTGCCTCTCACATCGCTCGAGTAGGAACCACAAAGGAAGATGGCTGGAATCTCGTCCCGACGTGACCATGTTTCAGTCCACACCGAGGAATCCACCCGGCCTAGCCGCCAGTGTGCCCCCGACAACCATGGACAAAGCAGGAGGCGGCGCGCTAAGGCGACCTTCAGAACCGGTTGTCAAGCCACGGCAACCTGAGGGCGATGCTCAACCACACCCAAGGTGAATGTTCGGTCCGCAGCCGGGGGGGAGGTTGATGTCATGCTCCGTGCATGGACCCGACTCGACTCAATGTCGGGGTGGAAGCCCTATAGGAGGCAACTCGAGTTCTAGGGGCCTTGGCTCAAGGTTTCCAGCAAATGGTGTCTGGCGGTAACATGGATGAGCCTGCCCGTCAAAAGACGCTGGCAGATGTGGAGGTGTCCTCCAGGCGGTGCGACGAGCGACGCTCTGGATCCAGCCAACAAAGAAGGGAAGAAGTCTCCCAGCAGCTTAGCGGACCCCATCGGTAGGCTGGGAGGGGCGCCCGGCAGGGGCGCTCAATACAAATGGGGGGAGGCGAGCCCTCTCGCCACTCTCACCGAGCGAGCAGTCGGTCTGGCTCCATGGAGAGGCAAAACGTGGGGCCCTGACCTCACGTGCACAAACGGCTTGGAAGTGTCGTTGGACATGCCCAGCCCCGCGTTGGGGCTTTCCAGGGAAACCCACCGCCGGCCGAGGTGGAAGATCTACGATAGCGCCTCAACGAGTTGAGAAGAAGGGTTATCGAGGGGAGCCTTACATGGTCGACCTCCGGGTAGCCGAACCTTTCACCGAGGTGGTCATGGATGCGTCGTTGCCCAGGGGCTACAAGCCCTGCGCCATCGAAGCATACAAGGGCGCTTCTGACCCCCAACATCATGTATCTCGATACCTTTCCTACATGGTAATCATGGGGTACGAGGACGCCATCCGATGACGCGGTTTCTCTACCACCTTGGATGGCCCAGCTTGAGAATGGTATGACTCTCTGCTCGACGGGAGTATCACGAACTTTCGTGAGTTGGCTCAATGCTTTCTCTTGAGGTTTGCAAGCTCCAGAGACGTCAAGAAAAACTTCAGCCACTTGTTCAGCCTGAAACAGAGGAAGAAGGAATCATTGTCCACCTTCTTAGCGAGGTGGAGGGCCGAGTCAATCAAGGTTCAGGGTCTTGATGACAGGACCGGGGTGGCCATGCTCACAAACTCTATCCGGTCTAGCGAGCTTTACAAAGATTTCATCAGAAGTCCCCCTACCTCGTACGAGGAGGCGCTTGGCTGTGCCGACCGCCAAGCCGAGGTGGAAGATGCCTTGCAGAGGAAGAGAGATGAGGAAGAAGGCGCAAAAGAAGAGAAGAAGGAAACTGGTTCGGGAGCCGAGAAAACTGATGGCAAAGCCGGCGGCAAAAACAACAAGTACAATGGTAACAAGAGTAAAGACAAGGGCAAGGCGGATGTCCTGAATGGTATGACTCTCTGCCCGACGGGAGTATCACGGACTTCCGTGAGTTGGCTCAACGCTTTCTCTTAAGGTTCGCAAGCTCTCGAGACATCAAGAAAAACTTCAGCCACCTGTTCGGCCTGAAACAGGGGAAGAAGGAATCATTATCCACCTTCTTAGCGAGGTGGAGGGCCGAGTCAATCAAGGTTCAGGGCCTTGATGACAGGACTGGGGTGGCCATGCTCACAAACTCTATCCGGTCTGGCGAGCTTTACAAAGATTTCATGAGAAGTCCCCCTTCCTCACACGAGGAGGCGCTTGGCCGTGCCGACCGCCAAGTCGAGGCGGAGGATGCCTTGCCGAGGAAGAGAGATGAGGAAGAAGGCGCAAAAGAAGAGAAGAAGAAGGAAGCTCGTTCGGGAGCCGAGAAAACCGATGGCAAAGCTAGCAACAAAAACAAGAAGTACAATGGTAACAAGAGTAAAAGCAAGGGCAAGGTGGACGTCCTGAGTGGACCGCTCCTGCCCGTCCAACAATTTACTCCATTTTCTCAGCCGGTCGGGGCCGTCTCCAACTACGCGGAGGAGCAAGGTCTAGTTGACTTTCCGAAGGAGTGTGATGTGGTGACCGCCAAGCGCGACCACGACCAATATTGTCGATTCCACCGGAGAGCAGGGCAGGATACGGATGAATGCATCATTCTCTGACGGCAGATTGAAGAGCTCATCCAAAAAGGGTACCTGAGCCAATTTCTTGGCAAACAAGGAAACATGCCGCAGAAGAGGAGCCTGACGTGGCAGCGGCCCGACCAAGCTCCCACGTCAAGGGAGAAACAGCCCACCAAGAAGCAGGATGTAACACCGCCCCCAAGTATTTGTACATTATCAAATTATGTATTGAACCCTGAGAAATGAATAAAAGCTTTTTTACGTGATTGTAAATTTTTATCATTTCTTCTACGTGAATAGTAAAATTCACGTGGACCCACACCGGAAGTGGGGGCCGCTCGGTACTGTCGGGAACACATATTATATTAATCTTGGACTAGATAATATGTGTATGGTGGTGGATATCCTAATTGGTCCATGGCAATGGCAGAGGATTGACCGGTTGGTCAAACGGGACCCAATTATCAGTATCGGCAATTTACCAGATAACAGCCCGAAGAAGGGATTTCGGAGATTTCTAAAATTAAGTTGAGGAATGCATATTCCTTCTAAGGTCCAATAAAGATTGGGAACATGTGTTATATTTTATTTGACCCGATAAAATAAAATATAATTAAAACAGTCCGAAAAATACAACTTTCGGGACCGATTGTACACTCCGGGACACAAAGGGTTGACCTCCCGCATAAGTGGGGGCCAACCCACGTTTTTAGCTCTGCAAGGAGGGCAAGGGAGCCTCACAACCTTGTGGGAATTGAGCAAGAATTGACCGAAGGCCAAACCAATAAATGGAATGGACCCCCCCCCCCCCCCCCCATGTTATCTTTGTGAGAAATATCAAAAAGGCATTCTCAATCAACCATACACCCCCCAGCTCGGCCCATCCCTCAAGTAAGGTGAGCGAAGCTCTGTAATACCCCATCTTTGCCATCCATATCCTCACAAAGCAAGGAGAGGAAGAAGGAAGGGAAGAAAGAAGAGAAAGGAGGAGGTTAGGCAAGAAAACTTGAGA